ATATTAATATCAAAATAAACAATAAATTTTACTGCAGAGTATTAATAAAATTTTTTTTGCATTCAACTCCTTTAATGCATATATGAAAATAAAAACATACATTTTCATCAAAATATTGATTCAATTCTTCATTTACTATACTCCTATTACAGGTCAAATCCTGTTTATATACAGCAAATGATGCACCATAGACCTATATACCTAATTATGTTTCTCTTTCTGCTCTCTCTTACAGCGTAGAGAGTGTATAGAAGTATAACTTCTACCGTAAATCCCACTGGACTGCCACACCCGTTTTTTTACATCTTTTCTTTTCTTTCACATGGTTTCCGCAAGTCAAAATACCAAATAAATTATTTTAAATATTGCAGTTGCGAATAATTTCCAAAATAGTGGATTCCCAGTGTTTTTTAATTATTATTTTATTTGTATAAAGCAATAAATAATTTTATATTAACCAAGCGTAGTTGGCTCTCTTTTAAGCCCATTGCCATTTATTAGTTTAATGGACGAATTAAAACGACAAGTAGAGATAAAGTTTCTAAAATACGGAATAAAGATATTAAATAATCAAAACTAATTGTAATTATTACATTTCTTTAGTAAAATAAATAAAACACCTACTACTACTTTGTTTAATAAGAAATAACCACAATTTAAATATAAAATGCGTTTAATTTGATGTTTTGATTTTTATTCCCAAAATACAAAATATGATTTTCAAAGTGGACACCAAAATCTCAAACTAAACAGATTTTTCAAGAAGCTTGTAGTAATTGTAAAATAAAAATAATGTAGTTGTGATAAAACTGCATATAGCACGCATAATTAGTGCGAAAAGAACAGTATAACGTTGTTCTGGTAGAGACTGAATATAGTATGAATTTAGTACCGTCATACGAGCTTGTTTTTATCATCTATTAGATTGAATTTTAGTTTTATCAAAGTCACATTCAGTTTTGATAACGAAACCGTTATTTGTTCGTTAGTCATAATTCTGGTTTTATTCGCCAAAAAGCAGAATAACGAAATTAATATTTCAAGTTAGGCAAATGGTAAATTTGAAAACACTAGTTGTACAGACAAGAATTGTAGAAAATGCACGGATAGAGCTGAAGATGAAAATCAACAAGCTCGTTCAATTAATGAAGAACGGGAACAGCGTAAAATTGCCGTATGTAGTTTAGCTAAAATCAATTTTCATTTTAACAGCATCCTAATTTCAAGGAAAACTGGTATTAGTGTTAGAACTATACGAAATGTTTTAAAAAGAAACAAGTACAATTGCTATAAATTGCAAGAGGGAATTTTCAGGGAATTATCCCTGTTGATTATAAACGACGGATGGTGTTTTGTGAGGACATGATGGAACACACTAATCAGTGCGTAGGGTACTCTAAAGAAAACAGGGTCAACTTATAGTACCAACCGTAGGGTACCCTACGGGTCTGGGCTGCTGTTTTAGGTGACAACGTAATTGGCCTTTTTTATTATGGGCTTTTTGTATCGTTGTAAATATCTAGATCTCCTGAGAAATCACATAATTCTAGCAATTCGAGCATTACCTATTAATATGGATGAAATTTGGTTACAACGAGACGGCTGACCAGCTCACAATGCACGGCAGGTTTTTTAAACATTACATTTCCAGATAGAGTTATTGGCACAAAAGATACCATAAAAATGCTACCTCGCTCTTCTGATCTTACACCTTTGAACTTTTTCGTATGGTGTTAAATGAAGCAACAAATTTACCGACATGAGCAATATCTTGCCTGACATTTAGACGAATTACGTCAAAGGGATGTATATTATCACACTTGCTGTTTCACAATTAACGGAGAATGTATCAATAACATCAGATACGTGGATGACACGGTGGTATACACTGATAGGTATGAAGCCTTCCAGGAGTTAATGAAGAAAATCACAGAAGTAAGTCAGAGATATGGACTGTCACTGAACAATAAGAAAACAAAATGTATGATGATCTCTAAGAAGGATCAGCTAAATGAAAGAATCAGTGTGAATGGTCAACCAATAGAAAAAGGAAAAACATACACCTACTTTTTTACGAACGTCAAAACTGGGACTATTCCCTGGAAATAAAATCTAGGATAGAGAAAGCAAGATCTGCATTTTATAAAATAACGAAGCTATTTAAATGCCACGCTTTATGAGTACCCATAACAATCAGGTTACTACGATGTTATATCTTTCCTATACTTTTCTAGGGAGTTGAGTCGTGGACTCTTACAGACGCTACCTTTAGGAAAATTGAGACTTTCGACATGTGGCTTTATTGTAGAATCCCGAAGATATCCTATACCGAACACGTTAATAACCAGGACGTTTTATTAAGAACGAAAAAAGGAAAATAGTTGTTAACCACAATATAAAACAGCCAAAATTGAATACCTCGGTCACATCATGAAGAACAGCGAAATATACGGGTTGCTGCAATTAACTCTTCAAGGAAAAATAGAAGGAGAACGAGGACCAAGAAGGCGAAGAATTTTCAGGCTGAAAAATCTACGTACGTGACTCACACCACAACCACCAATCTTTTCAGAGCCGAAGTTTGCAAAATACAACTTTTCCTGATAGTTGCCAACCTCTGAAACGGATAGGCAGTACAAGAAGAAGAAGACGTCAAAAAATCATTCAGGTCTTTCAAAGTATAACACCCGAAATGCAGTGGACTTTTTAAAAATTCAATTTAAAATAGTTTTAATTTAATTAAATTATAAAACTGTTATTTTTTAGAATTACTTATTTTAATTTATACTGTTAAGAATTTATTATGTCATTTTTTATGAATTGAGATTAAAACAACTTTAATTTATTTTAAGATATGAAACTACCTTTAAATCTTGTAATCACATCGTTAAAATATTTCCCAGATCGTCTAAAAAGTAAACTTTCTTTCGGCAGCAACGTACAGACAAGACTGCCCATAGTGCTTAAAGGTCTTATATAGAAAACAAAAGAAACCACAACAAAATAATTTTAGAATCAAATAAAGTAATCAAATGATTTGAAATTTATGATTTTTCCCCTAAATTTATTAATTTAAAAGTTTATCGAAATATTGGTGGGCAAAAAATATTACAAAGCTAAATCGTAAATTTTATTTACTTTTTTCATGGCGCGAAATAGAAGTATAAAACACGATTTTAAATTAAACTTTCATAGTTTTTTACTGCTTAAAGTACTACTTAAGAGAATATACAAAAGGCCAGAGGCGGATATTAGCGAGGAGCAGTTCGGGTTCCGAAATGGAACTATTTGCCATCAACGTATTGATTCAGCAATGTTGGGATGTAAACGTTGATCTACACTTGTGCTTTGTTTACTACGAAACAGCTTTCGATAAAGTAAGATATGAAAAACTAATATCAATACTTATGAGCAAGCGCATTGACAGTAAAATCATAAATATAGTGCAAACATTATAGTGAAACCAAAGTGTCATGGTTCAAATTGATGGGCAACGTTCAGAAGAAATGAAGGTCTGTAGAGGAGTTAGACAGGGATGAGTTTTATCGCCACTTTTGTTTAACTTATATTTTGAAGAAATTTTCTGTGAAAGTTATCGTTACCGGAAAATTAATTAACAACTTACGACATGCAGACGACACTGTGATCATAGCAACGAGTATAGAAGATCTACTAGGATCAGACTACGTACCCTTCGCTGTTACATATTTTCAATATTATTATATGGAGCTGATTGTGACATTAAAAACATGTAATTTAAAAAGGATTTAGAAATGGAGAGGGTTGGTAAAGCAACAGAACTAATCACCACTATATAAACCAGAAAACTTGAATACCTAGGCCACGTGATGAGGGAACCAAAATATGAAATTTTAAGACTCATAATACAGGGAAAGATTTAAGGAAGAAGATCTGTTGGCTGAAGGCAGAAATCATGGTTAAAGAATCTACGTGATTGGTATCAATGCAGATCGATTGATTTATTTAGAGCAGTAAGTTCAAAAATAAAAAAAAGCCATTATGATTGCCAACCTCCGCAGGGAGATGGCACTCTAAGAAGAAGAAGAAGAAAAATGGTTTTATAGTAACTAGGAATTTATATGACCAAAGGATATAAAACTGATACCATTGATTATTGTGTTCTTAATTACCATGATGCCATACAAAAAAAAATTTCAAATATACATAAAAAATCTAAACAAAAAATTAAATTAATTAAAAAGTTATATATTAATTGATATAAGAAAATAGCTTCATAAATATATTACAAAAGATAAAGTGCAATATAACAACAAAACCATATGCTTTAAAATTGCAAACGATTTAACGGAGCAATTTAATAAAAAAATAAAATTTATATTCATAGTGATATGTATAACCAGTAAAAATGGTAAGAGAATTTTACAGCACCTTATTTTACAAAAGATCGAAGTAAAAGGATAGAAATAGGTATACTCTAAACCTAAAACATGAATGCACTTGAGTATATTAGCAGACTGACACAACAGAGTACGTATTGACCTGACCAGTATCAGTAGAAGCCGGTACTAGAAAAGATTGGAAATAAAGTGCAGATCTATAAAACTACATATAATTTATAAGTATAAAGAAATATTAATGGTAACAATGGTAATAAGAATTAATAATCCTCACAAAAACAACAGGGGCATATCAGTACGGATTGAACATAATATACAATAGACTTTCAATTTCAGATTCAAGAGAAGACCAAAAAATAATACAAGGTTAAATAAAATCTGATAAAAAAATTTTTAATAACAAAATTAATAAAAGCATTGAGGTTAAGATTATGAACATCTAATAAAAACATATACAGCATGTCGGATTAAAATCTACTGAAGGGCCATAGCAGAATAGTACATGATTTAAATAAAGTAAAGGATAAGAGCGATCACATAAATATTATAAAAACATGGTATAGATTCAAAAAAATAGGACAGATTTTAAGCCTTTTATAAATAATTAATAAATGTACTTACCCCGTAACGAAAAGATAATTTCTCGAATTTCTCTTGAATTTGGAAGGAAAAGGGAAGAGTCGTCATCTTTTTCCACAGCACTTTACTGAAAATTTTCGAATTTGCAAAAATCGCCGCGAAATTTTCGTGCACGCTGACCCGAAGAGCTACAACGCGATTTGGCGGGAGGCAGTCGGTCTATTATTTCATTTCCCAAACATCTCTTGGTCTTTATACTCCCGTCCGTACTCTCCCGTGTACGCACACTCCCCGGCTTTTTCTCCCGTTTCGTTTGTGTGTTTGACAATTCTCTTTACAGCCACTTAGAAAAACAATTGGCGTGGAGATTTGGTCGGACGGCTATTGTTTTTACGGGATGCGAATGTAATACGGGGATAGGGTATTTAGAAATGGTAATTATTAACAAAAAATTAAATGTACGTTTTTAATTATTTTTATGACAATTGAAATTTTTTGTTAATTTTTAATGGTATTACTTACTCTATTTTTACCGTCGAAATCTAATACATTTACAGTTGCCGAAAATTTATCAATGTCATGTTCGATGGCATTATTTCACACACTTTGTTAAATTTAATTTTTTTTTGTCTTTTTATATTGTTAAAGTTTAGTTGTTCTGTTTGGTATTCTTCTTCTTTATAAGCCATACGCTTCAATTGTATAGCTATAGACGGCAATCTGTTATTTATTCGTAGTTGACCCTCTCTAACAAGTTTCAAAATATCACTTTTATTTGGAATTTTTGCTATTTTTTGAAACGTTGGCTATCATGTGGGATATCATAATTTTATTCACACTTAAGTGTGACGACGAAGACTGACTAATTTACTCATATGAATTACTAAGCCATGATGTTCTTCTGCAACCGGGACACATCTTTCCACATGTTTTACCCTGATTAATAAGATTGAGAACTCCAATTCCGTTCTGGGTGTCGAACTGAATGGATAAACTACTTCAATTTTTTTATTTTCACTACTTTGGGTTGATTTTTTAGACGTTGTAATACCTTTTAAGTAGCAACCTTTGTACCACACTTTGAAAGTGTAAAATTTATTTACTAGAGATTTATTGACCATCCAGCTTTTAACCCTATACAATAAACTCGAAAAGAACTAACATTGGACTATTCTTATTTTCAGCTTATTATTCTCTGTTTCCTTGAGGTTATAAGCGCGATGACTGGGTGGATTTAGTAGACTACTCAAAAACAAGGCTCAAAGAACCGATATAATACCTGGAAATCAGACGGAACCTTAAATGACGAACCATGTAAATAAAAGGAAAACGAGAAGAAAAAATATTCCCACAATCAGATTAGCAACATGCAACATTACTTCTTTCAACACCAAATACCAAGAGATAATAGAAGAACTGATAAATAAAAACATAGACATTTGTGCAATCCAAGAAACCAAAAAGAAAGGTAAAGGCCAAAGAGACTATAACCAATATTTCCTAGCATACAGTGGAGTGAAGAAGAAAGAACGTGCACGAGCAAGCGTAGTTATACTTGTCCATAAAAAATTTAAAGACAACATAAATAACTGCCGTTATATCTCCAAAAAAATAATACATATGAACATCACAATGGACTACCAAAAATTAAATGTCATATATATAGCTATAGCTCCGAAGACTGCAAACCTAAGGAGGAACGAGAGGCATTCTACGAACAATTACAAACCATCCTGGATATATTATCTCATGAAGATCCCTTAACTCTTACAGGTGACTTTAATGCACGAATCGGAAATGAAATAGTTTCAGTTGTAAAACAAATATTTAATGAAAACCATGTCAACGCAAATGGGGAACTCATGGATAATATATGTGCTTTTAACGAACTGAGAATCAATAATATATTTTTCGACCATAAGTTCCTGTATAAATATACATTTGAAAACTACAGGGGGTATAAATCTATGATTGATTTTATAGTCACGAATTGAAAAATCCACCCAAAGCAAATTTTAGATATCCGACTTTAAAACTTTGCAGAAGCAGGGAGTGAACACAAACTAGTACTAGCAAAGATAAGAACGAAAATAATACCAAAACAATATTTTCTACAAAAACCACCGGGGAAAAATTCAATGTAGAATCACTGTGGAACGTCTCTACAAGAGAAATGTACCAAAGGAGGCAAACACAGAAGATACAGCTGAATTAAATAGACGAAATCGAAGATATAAACGCGAGCTGGGAGAAAATAAAACCAACATTAAAGAAGCAGCAATAGAAACTATAGGAAAACGCAAAATCATACTGAACAAAAGAAAAAACAACAATACAACATGGTTCAGAAAAGAAATAAAAGTGAAATGTAAAGAGAAACGAGAGGCCTACATGCAGTACAAAATATCAAATACCTCAGAATCCCGATACAAATATAGAAGAATACGAAATGAAAAAAAGCAGTTGGTAGGAAGAACAAAAATGGCAGAAAAAACGGAAAGAAATAACAAAATTAAAGGAATACAATAACATACCAACAAACGAATAGGAAAGATACCTGACGGAACTGTTTAAAGCAAAGGAAAATAATAATCAACACAATAACGTACCTGAATTAAGACACGATATAACACCGGAGGGACCGCAGACGTTCGGATACAATTAGCGTCTCTTAGCAAAGACAATGACGTCGACTTTGCTAAGTATCAAGACAATTACTATACACACACACAAACACACACACACACACACTACATTAATAAACTTGATCTTGATTGAGACTGGCTGAATGACAATTGTCCAAGTCTTCTTCTTCTTCTTCTTCTTTTGCCCTTTAATTCGTCCAATTTTGAACATAGGCTTCCCCCAGTTTCCTCCATTCGCTTCTGTTTTGTGCTTTCTGTTTCCAGTGTATTCCTCCTATCTTTCTAATGTCATCTCCCCATCTCATCTGGGGTCGTCCTCTTGCTCTCTTTCCTGTCCATGGTCTCCATTGTTGTATCGTGTTGTTCCACCTATTGTCTGTTTGTCTGGCGTTATGACCTGCGAAACTCCATTTTAGCCTGGCTATATGTTGACCTGCGTCTTTGACTTTTGTTTTGTTTCTTATCCAGATGTTTTGCTTCTTGTCTTTTAATTTTACTCCCAACATTGCTCTCTCCATGGCTCTTTGTGTCTTCACTATCTTATCCATGTTTGCTTTGGTCAGAGTCCATGTTTGGCATGCGTATGTGAGAATTGGGAGTATGCACTGGTCAAACACTCTTGTTTTTAAGTACTGTTGTATTTTCTTATTCTTTAGGACCCATTTTAATTTCCCAAATCCTGCCCAGGCTAATCTGACTCTTCTTTTTACCTCCGCTGTCTGGTTTTCCTTATTTATTTTTATTATCTGTCCCAAATATATATAATCATTAACCGCTTCTATTGTGATTCCATTTAGTATTACGTTTCTATTATCTTGTGTGTTTGTCATTGTTTTCGTTTTGGTAAAATTCATTTTTAGGCCTATTTGTTCAGATTCCTTGGCTAGTTCGGTTAGCATAGTTTGTAGTTCTTCAAAACTTGATGTTATTATTACTACATCGTCTGCATATCTTAGATGGTTTAGTTTCTTTCCATTTATGTTTATTCCCATGTTTGTCCATTCCATTGTTTTGAAAACATCTTCCAGTGCTAATGTAAATAATTTAGGAGAAATAACATCGCCCTGTCGCACTCCTCTGTTAATTGGTATAGGTTTTGTGTTTTCTTCCAGTTGTACTGTCATTGTTGCTTTCTTATATATATTGTGTATTAGCATTCTGTATCTGGAATCTATTCTACAGTTGTTTATAGCTCTTTCTATTGCCCACATTTCCACACTATCAAAAGCTTTCTCATAGTCAACGAATGCTAAATGCAGATCTAAATGATATTCGTTAGCTTTCTCTATCAGTGTCCTAATTGTTAAAAGATGGTCAGTGGTGCTATATCCTTTTCTGAATCCTGCCTGCTCTACTGGTTGATATGAGTCAAGTTTGTGTGCTAGCCTGTTGTTGATAATCCTCATGAATAATTTATACGTTTGCGACAGCAGTGAGATGGGTCTGTAATTTTTTATGTCCTTTTTGTCTCCTTTTTTAAATAGCAGGATTGTAAGACTTTCGTTCCATTCGTCGGGTATTTCTCCTCTATGTAGGCACTGGTTAAATAGATTTCGCAGTGTTTGCAAGATTTCTTCTTTCCCTTCTTTCAGCATTTCAGCAAGGATTCCATCCGGTCCAGGTGCTTTATTGTTCTTTAATTGTAATAATGCTACCTCTATTTCATAATTTTCTATTTTTGGCAGTGTTTCTGAGTTTACATTAGTGATTGTTTTCTTAATATATTCTTGTGTGTTTACGTTTGCGTCTTTCTTTGAGGTGTATAGCTCTTTATAAAATCTTTCTACTTCTTCCGATATCTTATCTTTTCTCCTTTCTTCCCTTCCTGTTTCATCCTTTATTGAAATGAGTAGAGGCTTCCCTAAATTTGGTCGTAAACATTTTAGGCCCTTGTTTCTCTCAATTACTTTCTCAATTTCATTTTCAGTGTATGTTCTCAGATCTTCTCTTGCTTTTCTTCTAATTAGTTTGTTTAGTTCTACGTATTCTACTGTGTTTCTTTTGTTTTCGCTTATTAGTTTTCGTCTGTTTTCCATTAATTGAAGTGTCCTGCTACTTAATCTATTTTCTTTGGTTCTTAGTTTTTTGGCGGTTTTCCAAGTCAAAACACACAAAAACACAACAAGACACGATATACAAATTAGTTTTCAGGAAGTAGAAATAGCCATAAATTCACTCAAAAATAGAAAGTCACCAGGGCTTATATAAAATGAGATGACAAAACTTATACAAAAACTAATATTGCACTGCAAGGTACCAGACGCATGGAGCAACAGAATAATGATATCAATGTTTAAAAAAGGTGGTAAAGAAGACCCCAACAATTATAGAGGTATAAATCTACTGAACACCGCACTTAAGCTTACCTCAAAAGTCGTAACCAAACAAATTAATAAACTATCAGATAAACAACAAGGATTTAGATCCGTAAGAACCTGTGTAGACGCCGTATTTGTACTAACACAAATTACAGGAAAGGCAATCGAATACAATAAACCAGCATATCTATATTTTACAGACCTGACAAAGGCTTTCGATCGCATTCAAGTCAAAGGCGTCTAACACCTACGGT